CGTACACCTGCAGGCGCCACTGACTCGGACGGTTGTCGTGGTAATAAACACCGTAAACAGCAAACGTTCGCGTGTCCGCGCTTAATGTGCATATCCTATATGAAAAGCATTTTAGGGGGCCCTTGGCTTCTGGGGGCCCAAGGCGGTCGCCTACCTTTGCCTAATGGGTAAGTCCGCCCCTGAATACCACATCGGTACCTATGTCAGACATAATCCCACTCTCCGCTAAGGAGGAACAGAAACCGCACGAGGACGTGAAAGAGAGAGTGGGGAAGTACAATAGCAGGGTTCTGAGTGATGCACAAACGTCCTGTCCAGATCACACTACTTGCTGTCATATTGCACAAACCAACAAATGGGGCTGTTGCCCTCTGCCTAATGTGAGTGTGAACACAGAGATGTTTATTTGCTATAAACATCTTCTAAATTCTATGCATGTTCTGCAGGTTGTTGTTTTAGTGAACTGCCTGTTTTTCTGGTTTTATCATCATGATATTGCATCTATTATAAAGGCCCTTTGTTTTGAGTGTATATATAGTTCCAGGTACTTCCTTGTGCATGTAACACAAATGCAGTCCTCACTGACTTGAAAATCAATACGAAGTACAATACTGTTTAAAAATGTTGTGGTTCGTTTTTTTTTTTAAAGAAATTAATGCTTTTATTCAGCAAGGATGCTTTAAGTTGATCAAAAGACATTCAAGACAGTAAAGACATTTAAAATTTTACATTTAAGATTTATTTTTATTTCAAATAAATGCTGTTCTTTTGAACTTTCTATTTATCTAAAAACACAAAAATGACAAAATATGACATAAGAAATGTTTCATGAGCAGCATATTAGAATGATTTCTGAAGGATCATGTGACACTGAAGACTAGAGTAATGGCTGCTGAAAATTCAGCTTTGCCATCACAGGAATAAATTATATTTGAATATATATTTAAATGGAAAATGGATATTTTAAATCGTAATAATATTTCACTATGTTTTTTTTTTTTATCAAATAAGTGCAGTCTTGGTGAGAATAAGAGACTTATTTTAAAAACAATCGGATCTACCAATCTGATTTTTTTGAAATGGTATGCAGTTTGTTTTGCAATTTTTAAATCAAATAGAGTTTTAAAGGAGCATGGTGTGAAGGTCAGATTGCCCATAAGTGTTCAGCTTGAACCTTTTTCTCATTTTTACTCAGGCTGTATGTTGCACAGATGGTGAACACTGCTGTCCGGCTAACTATAAGTGTGATGTGACCAGGGTGTCTTGCATCAAGGGAGATGTGGTGATCCCCTGGTACAATAAAATTTCTGCTCAAAACACACCGGCTCCAAGCTTGAATCTCGATGCTGTTACATGCGACGAGCAGTCAAGTTGCTCTGCAGATTCAACCTGCTGTTATCTGTCCACGGGAGAAAGGGGCTGCTGCCCTCTTCCTGAGGTAAGAATATGTGTATGTGGACTGGCTACAGAAAATCTATTCACGTTCAATATTTCATTTCATATGCATCTTATATGCCATAGGCTGTTTGCTGCCCAGACCGGGAGCACTGCTGTCCCAAAGACTACAAGTGTGATCTACATAGACGCTCCTGCATTAAAACCACCTGGCTGCATGTGGAAATAGTCCCACTTGCCCACATTGGTGGCCAAACGCTACAGTCGAGTGTCTCAGAAAAGGACATTCAGTGTGGAGGTGGATATAGTTGCAAAGACAGTGAGACCTGTTGTCCAACCTCCCAGTCCACCTGGGGCTGTTGCCCATCTCCAAAGGTAATGCATTAAACCTTAAAACAATAGTTCACCCAAAAATTTAAAATTTGTTCTCAATTACTCAACTTTATATCATACTTGAGAAGATAAAAATACTTCTTTTCAGAGAATATATCTGGAATTAAGTTATTTTTTAAATAATTTTTTTACGCATAAACACAGCAATAAATAAATAAAAATGCCCATGTAGTAAAAATAAAATTGACTCTGAAAACAGGTTTCATTAACTCTCAAGTGTATCTTGTTTAAGGATGTCTAAATATTTAATGGAAAACAAGAATAAAAACATTTTTGCAACCAAAAGGCAAGCACTTAAGGTGAAGTATTAAACCTTAAATGGATAGAAAGAAAAAAATGTGTCATCATTTACTCACATCCATGTTGGTCCAAAGTTTCTTTCAGCTGTGGAACACAAAAGAAGAAATTTTTTGTTTCTGTATTTTTTTTTTATCCATACAATAAAAACCATTGCTGTCCAATGTTGTTTTAAAACACCAATTACTTTCTTTATATGCACACAAACAGTGGAAACATTCTTTAGAATATCTTTTTTAATCGTACATGTTTGGAACAACATGAGGGTGAGTAAATGATGACAGAATTTACATTTCTGAGTGAACTATCACTTTAAATCTTACATGTAACGGTATATGCTAGTTAAGTTAAAATTCATTTAAAGAAGGCAATGGTTTAAAGATGTTCCAGTGCATAATAGCTGCATCAGAGAATGAATTTCCTTTGAATATATTAATGGAAATGGCCACACTGTCTTGTGATCTCAGTTCTATTGACTTTTCTGTAAATTCAAATGGCAGTCAAATTGTAAATGTTTATCTTAGTCAAGTTCCTATTTTTGTCCTTGTCCTTTCCCTTACTCCTCTCTTTACTTTATTGCTCTCTCTGAAGGCGGAGTGCTGTGATGATATGAAACACTGCTGCCCTGCTGGATACAAATGTGGCGAGGGTGGAATTTGTACTTCAGCCTTAAGCTTTGACTGGAAGAGCTGGAAAAACTGGAGGGTGTTCTTCTCCAAAAAGAAACGAGCTAGTACTCTGTAAAGACAACAACAACAAAACACCTGTGTTGTTCCCACTCAGTGGCGTAAATGGCCAACACTCCCTAAAGTGTCATATTTTTAAAAATGTTACATTTATCAAAGTACTAATCAGAAACAGTCAGACATTTTTATTTGCAGGAGAAAGTTTCATTGGGGCTGAATGTGATGGTTATTATCTGTTCCCATTGTCTATCAGTAATACCAACTACATTTTATCCACCGAGCCATTTTACACTCTACATTTACACTTATACTGTCCATTTTAAGAATGGGTCATTATAAGTGTACACTGTTCATAATTTTTGATGGTTTCCAGTGTTTTGGTTACTGCTCAGTTTATCTAAAGAATAAGTTGACTATGGAATGATGAAAAGATGAAACGCATATTGAAGCATAGAGGACCTCTAGTGGCTGGATTTAATTCACACGTCTGTCATTATAACTTGCCATGTACAAATATCACAGGCCTCTATGGTTTACAGGCTACATTTTTTCAGACTTGACATAACATGATCTTGTGTCTTGTGATTATGACCACATTGCCCTGGACAAGGAAACATAATAAATTGATCTCTTCAGATAACAAACATCACCTTTTCTGTGTAACTTCCTTATTGCAGCTCTTTACCATTAGTTGTGTAATTGTCGTCTTTATTGATTTAAGTGCTTGTTTTTAACAGTTATATTGACTGAGCGTTGTAACAGATAACAAAGTTTTCTTAAGTAAAAATGTGACCAATCTGAAACCGTGAGTTAAAGAGAGATAAAAGAAAATTGTCTGTCTTTTGAACCTACTTTTCACTTTCAAATTGATCCAAATTCAAATGTATTAAATTTATTTAAAAATCATATAGATTTATTACAATTGTTAAAAAAGTAATATTTATTTTGTATTTGATAAAAATATATAATAATTACAAATAGGTACGCAGAATCCCTTGTTTTGAGAAACCCCTGGTCGATGGTGCTAATAAAAATCTCTGCTGGTACAGAACAGACCAAGGGTGTGTTTGGCACGCAGTCCAACCCACTGACACTTAGGGCGTTGCAATAAAACAAACACAGAAAGAATGGAAGGAAGCGTAAATATGGACAGAAACCCTCAACAAACTGTAAAGCCGTCGATTTCACTGTGCGTTTCTCTGACGTCATTACGCACTAACGTAAACATCCTGCCCACACATTCGTTGATACATAGAACATATTGATAGAACGCACGATTGTTGGAACTGTGGTGCGTTGGTTCCATATTATCTAAAGATCTTAGTCGTTTCGATTACGTTGCAATGTTTTCTGAAGGTATTACACAGCGCTGCACCTGCTAAAGCGGTGGTTGCGTATATTCTGAATTCACGTTAAAACAATTGCGCATCAATTAAGTTGGGCGAGGTTGTTTTCAGTAAAAGGACAGCCAGGCTGTCTACCTCAGCTACCAATCACATGTCGACGGAGGATCTGTCCACTTCCGACAGCGAAGCTGCTTTCGCGGGAGCCGGGGAGCGCTGGGCGCCCGTGGGAGCAGTGGCCAACCCGGAGGATGAGCAGTGGAAGAGAGGCACGCAGGGTGGTTCTGTGTCGTCTAGCGATGCAGACTTGGTATCCAGGTTGCGGAAGCTGGAGGATGAGCAGGAGCAGTTAAATTCATCGCTCCTCGCGTTAACGTCTCACTTCGCTCAAATGCAGTTTCGGCTGAAACAGATTGTCCACGCGCAGAGCGACGAGAAAGAGAGGATGCTGCTGGAGCTGGAAGAGTTTGCCTTCAAAGGATGCCCTCATGTTATAGGCTGCAGGACACAGGATGCTCAGATGCTGGAAAACTCTGTGAGTTTCATTGTTTTCTGTCGTAGTGATCTCTACCCTGCAGAAAAAAAGAAAAAAAAAAACATAGTAAACCAACCCAAGATCTCCCAAGACCCAGAACCAGCTGGCAATCCAGCTAAATACCAGCCTGGCCACACTGGGGTCCAGCTAAACCAGCATAAGTTAGCTTGGTACCAGCTAAGACCAGCAAACAGGCTTAGTTCCCCCCCAGCAGTTATGGTAACACCTGCAGATCTCAAATATGACTCAAAACAAGTGCTTTGTAGGAGAATGGCATGAAACCATTTCAAATACATGTAATATACAGCAGGGCTTTTCAATCTTTTAGACACCACGGGCCCTTAATATGATCATCCTTGTGTGAGGGATCCCATCCTAAAATTTAAAAGACATTTACACAATCTCTTGTATAAAGACCCAAATACAATGTGGACAAATTATTATTATACATTTGTCTAAGTTATTATTTGGGAAAATAATTATTTTCTATTAAGTTACATTATTTAAAAAATGTTCTACTCATTATAGTACTGTACTGTTATATTTATTATTTATTTACTTATTTTGATCAGCTTTTATCTATTCTAATCTAGTTTTTAGTTATTTATTTATTTATTTATTTATTGTAATCTTTACTTTTTATTAATTATATATTATTACACTGTTTTTCTGAACTTTTCAGTGGACCCCAGTTTGAAAACCTCTGATCTACAGTGTCATCAGTGTTATTTTGTTTTCAATAGGCCTGCTTCAATAGTCTTCAATAGTTCCTGTAACAATATGCACCTGTGATACACCCACACATAATAACACAAACCCCCTTTCATTCACACGTGATCAGCCTATACAATATCCCTGTGATGCCCTCAGGAATCAGCATTCAATTTGTCTGCATCTCTCTTGTTAAAAGGCATGTTTTTGTGTCATTCAAGTAACTAATCAACACCCTCTTAAAAATAATCAACACAGTATAGTGATAAAAATCACAGTAAACACTATTCAAGGAACATCTGAAAGTCACTCTTTCCCTGTATTTCTTCCTGCTGGAGTATCTTGTTACTGCCATTAAAATGCATTCCTTTCCTCTTATTTCCTCCTCTGCACTCTTTGCTTGCAGGATGAATTGGTGAGTACTATGAACATGACCTTTGTGCAGTCTTTCTTTAAACTTAAGTGTTTACTTGAAGTATTCCTGATATATATCAAGTTCATACTTGATTTGGTTTTGTTCGGTCTCTTTTTCTTTTTTATATTAATCAGTTACATTTTTGTTCCCCAGAGACTATTAAATGTAAAATCTTTGCAAGATTATAGTCAAACTATAACCATGTTGTGTGTATAGCAATGTCTATTCTGAATTGCTTTGCATTTCTGGATAAGCAAAGCTAAACCAAATGAAGCAAACTAATTAAAAGCTCATCATCCTTCATCAGAGCATATGCAAATATGTTCAGCTAGCTACAGTGTAAACATTGTTGATATTTTAAGTTTGGCTTTAGGTTTTTAAAGTTTGTTTGATTGTGTGTTTGTGCTTTTATAATATGCAGAGTGAAAGAGAGAAGAGGGAACGCTTGGAAGCTCAGAGAAAGAAGCAGAAGGAGCTGATTTTCCAGCTGAAGACTCAACTTGACGACCTGGAACGCTTCGCCTACCAGGAGGGCAGCTATGACTCACTGCCTCAGTCTGTGGTCATGGAGAGACAGAGGGTATATCTGATAATACACTCTCATATTGTTGACATCATTCTGAAAGTCATTTAAAGATGTAATGGTCTGTGAAGTGATTACCCTTAAAACCATTGTTGGGGCATTTTATTTAGTGTCTGTCCACCTCAATACTGTAGGTGATCATTGATGAGCTGATTAAGAAGCTGGATGTGAATCTGAATGAAGACATTGGGAACCTCACTCCAGAGGAGCTCCGACAGAGAGTAGACGCCGCTATAGCTCAGATAGTCAACCCGGCTCGAGTCAAAGAGCAGCTGGTGGAGCAGCTCAAGACCCAAATCAGTGACCTGGAGATGTTCATTAACTTCATACAGGGTGAGGAGGTCTGCTTATGGGTCAATGATGTGATGGTCGTTTTTATCATGTTTATGCAAATATACACCAACATTCAAACGTGTGGATTCTGTAAGATTTTTTTTAAATGTTTTTCTTCTTTTATGCTCACCAAAGGCTGCATTTATTTGATCAAATACAGTAAATGTGATGTTATTACAATTTAACAATTACTGTTTTTTAATTCTATTTTAAAATGTAATTTATTCATGTGATGTCAAAGCTGAATTGCAGCAGTCTTTAGTCAAGTCTTATGTATTAAATAGCACTTTATACGATACAGATTGTTTCAAAGCAGCTTCACAGCAGATAATGGTGTCATTATCCAGCTTAATTCAGATTCAATGTTGAATCAATTCAGTTCAGTGTTGCAAAGTGCATCAATTATGAAACGACTCAGCTGTTTGTGTTCTTATTTGATAGTGTCTGTACAGTCAGATCAGTAATATTTTCTGAATATTAATTCACATGATCCTTCAGAAATCATTCTTAAATGCTGATTTGGTGCTCTGGAAACATGTTGATTATTATTTACAGATTATTCTTATTATTATTATTAACAGTTGTGCTGCTTTATATTTTTTGTGGAAACCGATGCATTTTATTTAAGGATTCTTTATTAAATAGTGAGGTTTTTTTTAATCAATTTAATGTATCTTTGCTGAATAAAAGTGTTAGTATAATTTTTTTTTTTTTAAAGTATTTTTATAAAAATCTTACTAACCCCAAACTTTTGAACAGTAGTGGTTATCATTGAGCTTTATGCCACTATCTGCAGAGCCCACTGTACTAGTTTCCTGTGCATAATATCTCATCTGTTACCTTTGAGTTTGATGTGCCTATGTGGAGCAACATAAATACATTTAGATTACCATCCTGATCTTGCTCCTCTCAGATGAAGTCTCTCAATCCTTCAGTTTACCTGTAGGGGGCGGTCCTGTGACGGTCACACCCAAGCAGTCTCTGTTATGGGCCATCCATACAGTTCTCAAAGAGCATGGACGATTCAAGCGTAGTGCGGACTCTGAGTTTAAGGCCTTAGTGTGCATGGCGCTCAATGAGCAGAGGCTTGTGTCCTGGCTCAACCTGCTGTGTAAGTCTGGGATGCTCATCCACTCACACTACCAGCCCTGGAGCTACATGGCCCAAACGGGCTTTGAAGGTGCCCTGCGCATCCTGGGCTGCCTCAGCCATCTCAAATTCAGCCTTCCTGTAGATTTGGCTGTCAGGCAGCTTAAAAATATCAAAGATGCTTTCTAAACAAAATAAATATATGGTCAGTTTGGCAGGTTGAGGAAAAAAGGGAACCCTCCCAACCCTCAAAAATTATGATTAAAAAAAAAAAAACACTAATTACAATATAACACTAATATATAGCTTAACACAAGTTTAAATCAAATTAAAAGATACTCCCAAATCAACAAGTCCACTGGAATTAAAAAATTGGAAATTAATCAACTTGTGCACTTTCTTGAGACTCTATGTTGCTGTTGGGTCTTGTCTCTAAACTGAAGAGGATGATGATGAAGTCCGGTTTTAATATGCTGCATTGGTCACAACTAAAAGGAAATGTGCTCAGTTTAGTGACCCTGAGCGTGTAACTGCCTCCACATAACCTTTGAGCTTGTTAAGCTTTTACCAAAATCAACCACATTACTCTATGTAGAAAAAATTATTTATTACTTGAAATCCTTTCAAGGGCCATTGCGTATGTTTGAGATGCACTACTATATAGTTACAAAACAGTGACATAATGGTTTAATTGCATTTTTTGTTATAAACCTATGTAGCCAAGTGCACTCATTTTCTGAGCTTGTACTACATTATTGTACAGTGGTTCACAGACAAATCAAAAGATCTTTTTAATTTAAGACTGGTTTCCATTTGCATTATTAAGGGCCATTACATTTCAAACACTGAGATATAGTGCATATAATGTCTGGGTCTTTGCTGCTCTGTGTGTTTGTATCGCTTTCTGAGGAGACCATGCATGCTGGTGAGACCTCACTTAGGTCAATCAACACACTCAGGTCATTCTGAACAAACAAAGACATGCTTATTGGTGTTTGTAAACCACTTCTCTCCTCTAACTCCTTTCCACAGCCAGTTGACACCTTAAAAATGATTGTAGAAAGCGGCATCTTGTGGTAGTGCTGCTCATTCGCTGCTACAGAAGGAAATGCACAGCAAATGAACTGAATTAAATGGAGGTCATTCAGCACATTTGCTGAATATGAGTCTGATATGCTGTGCATCGGCACTGACTGAATTATTTATGGCCGTTATGCCATGCCAGCGTTCAGAGGCTCTTCTTGAATACCTGCTATTTCCATGTCTTGTCAATCCTTGTTTACTGCGCTGAAATATTGAATGTACAATCCTTGAAATTGTATCCTGCTACTGTACCCATTCTGACTCCAGATTTCTCATTCCTTAAACCAATCTGAATACTGATTTACTGAAACCTTTATCCAGTAAGATAGGGCTGTTTGTTACCACATCATGGAAATGGATTCAGCATTCGGTGTATTTCTCTGCACCATTAGAATATGAAGGAATGGTTGTGATGCATTTATTAACCCTTATTTAATGTAGTTATTTTTCCCACTTGCTTTTTTTTTTTAAATATTAATATCAACCTGAATACATGCTTGGCCTATTTTGATGTCTGTTTGTTTGTTTTGTCCTATCATATCTATTTAAGAAATTATTATTGTCTTTGTACCTCTTCTTGGAAAGAATAAGACTTTCAGTTATTTCAATAGTGATTTCAAATCAGTGTCAGTAACATTCCTTTTTATAAAATTTGTGCCATCATTTTTGGATGTAATGATGGTCTCACTTCAGTGATTTCATGGATTAAATGTACTGGATGGACTATGAATCTGATGCAGTCATATTTTCTCCAGTCATTTTCTCACTTCTCATCAGCTCTTTTTTTAAACAATGTAATTTAATTAATATATTTATGATTTACAGAATAGTTTTAGTCATTATAGTAATAGTTTTATATGATCTCATGTTAGTCAGAATGTAACTGAGAAATGTCTTCTATCAAATTGAAGTCCATTTCAGTTTTTGGATTTCTGAAGACTGTAGAACTGTAAATTGAATGTAAACTCAAGGAATTAGAATTACAAGAAATTCCCATTTAAATTCTGAATTTGAATTGAGGTAGCACGATGTAGAACTCTAAATTGAGTTTAAAATTAAGTAGCTGTAATTAGAATAAAATGACAAGAAAATCACAAAAGTACATAGTAGCGTACAAGTGTATTTGTTTTTATTATTATTATCATTATAATTGATTTTTTTTATTATAAATAGCCCATACACTTTATCATACACATGAGGTATTTCCAGAATCAAATAATTACAGTAAAACAATTCAATTTATACAATAATTAAAGTTTTCTGAAAATATTATGACACGTGACCGCATATGTGAAACTTACATGTGTTTCGTACAGACTCTGCAGTAGAGGGGTACATTTTTTTATTTTTATGTTTTATTTATTTATTTTTTTTGTAGAGGGGTACATTCTACTTTACCAAAGTCTACTGAACAAATCGACGGAAATACGTCACTGGCCGTCGGTGTCAAGGGTCACGCTCGCTCTTTCTACTTCCTTTCCCGTTATCGTCGGCCATTGAGCACCATCAGTAAGTTTCATACATTAGAAAATAATCCATGAACATCGATAAACAAATAAGGCCCGCGGGCTTCCTTTCATGTTGCTTACAGAGCGAATACCCCTGACGACTATCTAAAGTGTGTATTGTCTGAATATGTCGCCTGCTTTGAAAGATAATGGGTTTAGAATTCGTTCCGTCTCTGTCTGCTAGTGACATGAAAGCTTAACTGTCCGTCAGTGATGGCTGAGGAGCTGCGTTTATTGCACGTGTGCAAGAAACATTAATATGTGAATAAAGATAAAATAAAGTTCCGTTGAGGAAGGGCTAGGATATTCCGACTTGTTAATACAGCTGTATAATTACCAGTTAGCATAGTGCTATACCTAGAACGATCTTGTTTTATAAACGTGCTGCCCAGAAGAAACAACTTGCATTTATTGCATCTTTTTAACTATGACAAGTTATTTTGTTGCGTTATTATTATTTTTCTCGTTGTAAGAGGTTTGGCTACATTAAGTGCTTGTATTGTGCTACTTGTTGTCTTGCATTCTGGTTTTGCTTTTGGAGCTAATGTAATGTACACACATGTTTTTCAGCGATGGGCAAGTTTATGAAACCTGGTAAGGTGGTGATGGTCCTGGCTGGACGGTATGCCGGACGCAAGGCTGTGATTGTCAAGGTACTTTTAATGTTTCACAGTATCAAGGAAAAGGTGTTTGAGTATAACACGTTGAGAGTTTGTATATTGACAGTGTTGTGCTCTGTTTCTCCTGTCAGAACATTGATGATGGCACCTCAGACCGTCCTTACAGCCATGCTCTGGTCGCAGGCATTGATCGTTATCCTCGTAAAGTCACAACAACCATGGGCAAGAAGAAGATTGCCAAGAGGTCCAAGATCAAGGCCTTTGTGAAGGTGTTCAACTACAACCATCTGATGCCAACCAGGTATGCAGACCCTGAACAGGCAGAGTGACGTCTGTGCACAAATTCATTCAGGTTCTCTATTGGAATTGACTAATGTTTTCAGAGTAACACTTGCTGTCTATTGACACAAGTCCTCTTATTCTCACCAAGGCTGCATTTATTTTTATCAAAAATACAGTAAAAATGGCAATATTGTGAAATACTGCTAAAATTTAAAAGAACTGTTTACTATTGTAACATTTTAAAATACAGTTCATTCCTATGATGGTAAATTTGAATTTTCAGCAGCCATGTCTTCAGTGTCACATGATCCTTCAGAAATCATTTGCTGCTCAAGAAACATTTCTTGTTAATTTTGGGAATAGTTGTGCTGACTTTTTTTTTTCATTCTTCAATGAATGGAAAATAAGCAGCATTTATTTGAAACCGAAATCTTTTGTAATATGATGAAGGTCTTTACTTGTGATTTGATCAATTGAGAACATGGAGAATAAAATCACTTTTCCAAAGAAAGCCCTGCTGACCTTAAAGGAACACTCCACTATTTTTGAAAATATGCTCATTTATCGAAACTCTTTGGTCATTTTTGAGCGAGATGCTAACGGTCTAATCAGATTCAATGATCTATGCTAAGCTACAACTAAAAGTGCTACCGCCAGACCCGGAGATCGGCTGAATGGATTCGAAAATGGTAAAACTCAACTGTTTAACTCTAGGGGAGTTAGAAAATGAGCATATTTTCAAAAATAGTGGAGTGTTCCTTTAACTTTTGAACAGTAGTGGATATAGACACAACTTTTGATGACTGATTCAGATTGAATTATGGTTATACTTGTCTAATGGCGCTTTTCCACTGCGTGGTACGACTCGGCACGGCTCAGTACGGTACGGCACGGTTCGGCTCGGCACGGTTTGCGTTTCCACTGCAGTTCAGTACCGCTTTAGAGTGGGCGGGATTATTCACATGTCGTTATAGTTGCGCCGCCTCTACTACCACGACTCCTAAAAAAAACTTTTTCATTCCGCGTCGCCCTATCAAGCTCTCGATGGATCCGCTCCTCTGCTATCAACGGGAGGAACGTCTGTTCTTCCACAACAGACAACAAAACTTTTTGGTTGTTAAAAAAAAGGTGCGCTCGTTCAAAACGGTTGCGTTCGATCCTTCGCTGACTGTGTCAGCAGAATTTACACGTCACGTTTTGGTAACGGTACGGTTCACTTGGAACACCAACCGAGGTGGTACTAAAAAAAGTACCAGGTACTGTACCCAGTGGAAAACCCCCAAAAAGTGAACTGTGCCGTACCATGCAGTGGAAAAGCGCCATAGTTGGTGTACTATATAATTCCACATCCTTTATGATACCCAGAGTCACATACAGATTTGTTGATGTGGTGCTTTCTTGATGAAACTTAAGCAGTTGCAAATACTAATTAATAGATGTGTCTCGGGCATAGACTGTATAAAAACATGGACGTAGTGTCCGTGACGTCACCCGTAGGTTCCTGAAGAGGTTTTTGAAGCTCAAAGTAGGCAGAGCCGGCCGTCGCCATCTTGGCAGTGCGTCACTTAAATCGAAAATGGGCAAAAAGGTGGGAGCTGGCTGCTGAAACCACGCCCACCTAGCTCGACGGTGGTGACAGCAGCGGCAATCCACCTGTCACTCAAGTGGCCACGCCCTTAATTATGCAGAACTTTAAGGCTTAATATAATTTAAACGGATGAGTTATAAAAAAAATTCACCCCCCTCACAGTTGTCATGAAGGGCAAAATTAGCTATATAGACCAAAACCACTTTTTGTACCAGACTGTAAACA